TCGGAGTGACAAATCCTAATCTCGAAATATGCCAACCCAACATTTACCTTTGGAGACACCTGTAGAGCTCCTTTATAATCACCTAGTTACGTTGTGATGTTTGGTAGCACACAAAGTGTTCCTTCGGCAAACGGGAGTTGCATAATCTCATAGTCATAGGAACATGTATAAGTCATGAAGAAAGCAATAGCAACATACTAAACGATGGGTGCTAAGCTAATGGAATGGGTCATGTCAATCACATCATTCTCCTAATAATGTGATCCCGTTAATCAAATGACAATACATGTCTATGGTTAGGAAACATAAACATCTTTGATTAATGAGCTAGTCAAGTAGAGGCATACTATTGACGTTTGGCTTGTCTATGTATTCACACAAGTATTATGTTTTCGGATAATACAATTCTAGCATGAATAATAAACATTTATCATGATATAAGGAAATAAAATAATAACATTATTATTGTCTCTAGGGCATATTTCCTTCAGGGACCGCCCACCATCCGTAGATTATCGTATCCTATGATGCATGTAATTTCTTAGCCACTAAGTGGCATAGTCGTAAAGCTTAACTCCATTATGTGCCCGTACCAAACAAGACCGTACCTAGATGTCAGCAAACTCATTTAAAACATCACACACCTCTCTTAGTTTATTTCTTTTGTTTTTTTAGTATTTACTTTTTCGTTCTCTCTAGTACCTTAGTCTAGTTCTCTTTTTACCGTTCCCTAGCAACCTACTTAAAGTGAACTATTTCCAAACTCTGGTTTGTGTGTGAGCATGGGTTAGTGACAACACATCGACAAACCTTACTTCTCACGAAATTGCTACATAGCCATGTGCACTTGTAGGACATCGCCTCATTACTCATGTCATACTAACACTCAGCAGATCATGATTGCCTTAAGCTTGTGACCCTGTAGGTTCGGTAAAACATAGACATGAACAAAACCCTTTTCGTTCAATGATACTAGGACCGTGGACGTCCATATCAATCCTATGAGTACACAAATGACATTCGAGTGAACCTTTGGTTATCACATGCTATTCCCTTTACTTAGTGATACTTTACAAAACCCGAGGTGAGATATATCGGTATCCTCTTGAGTCATAAGCGTGTTCACTACACCGGTTTCCTTGTTACCAGTTTTGTTCTTCTTTCTTGTTGACATGTTCCGGCATCCCCATGACATAGTCACATGTGTCTGGCCAGACAATGATGGATTTCGTCACACTGAGAGGGCCCTAAGAATATTTCTCCATCGTCGGAGGAGCAAATCCCACTCTCGAGCTATCTAGTCCCTTTTCAAACTTTCCGATGAACCTGTAAGTTCTATTTATTATCATCGTGTTACATATGACGTTTGATCAACCCTAAAGTTAATCATACGGTGAGAAGTGACTATGATACTCTCATGGTACAATGAACTAAATCACACGTTAACACTATGTGTTAAAAACATTGACTTCTAACAGTTGTATCTAAAAGTATAACAAATAAATTTGGGTCAGTTCAATATGATTGTTCTTCTAACATCATATTCTCAATGTTGTTTTGAGACTATCGTTATACTTAACGATATCTCAAGATCCGGAAAACATGATCATAAACAACACTTGAGCTAGTCTTAGAGGCGAGACTAGGAATCATATTTTATCCTTTATTGTTCCATACTTGAGCTAGTTTTCACTGAATCGCATATTCCAGGATCATAGCAGTTATAGCATAGAATATAAATGTTTAATTATAAACATGGAAATATAATAATACAATTTTTTGTCTATATGGCATATTTCCAACATGTCATTGGGTGGGTTTTGGTGTCAATAACATACAGTCAAGGCACTAACAAACATATTGAGACATGTGTGTAGTAAATGTCCCTGCAATGGAGGATGTCATGTTGTCATGCAACCCCCTCCCCCTAATGTAAAAAGATAAAAAAAGATGGTGAAGCTTGTTTTTTCAATTCTACTGGCTCCTTTGGTTCAAAGAATTTAACATGATTTTTGGAGGATTTGGGCCCTTAGGAATTTTCGTGTGATGGTTGTTTGACTCGTAGGATTGAAATCCTTATGATCCATTTGTACTACATTTTACAGGACAATTTCCAACCACTCAAACCTTTTTTGCATGATTCCTTTATTTTCCCTAATCTTGTCGGGTACTATAGGACATGCCACCCTATTCCTGCATTTTGAAAATCCGACAAATCAAAGAGCCCATATATGTTTTAATGATGCCTGACACATTGGTCACAAGGACACCATACTCTAAATAGGACTTTGCTGGAATTTTGCGAGAAAAGGGATGGATAAGCGAAGTTCGTAGGTCGGAGGCGACCAAGACAAATCACAAAATCCAAAGTGAAGTTTGGAGGTCCGGATTTTGATATCGACATAAAATTTTGCTTTTGGACAACCAAAGTCAAGGCTGTGCGTCGAAGCTCTAGGTCTCTAGAATTTGAACCTTGTTTGCCACCTTCCAACTTGCGCATTAACGTGTCGATAGTTGTTTTAGATGCCCAACAAGTGGGTGACCTTTGGATTCACTCACCCGTCATTATTTTGAGCTTGGTCGCCTCATTCTCTCCAAGCATACAACCAAGTGGGAAGTTCTATATTTCGAGCCTACATCCAATATCCAACTAAGAAATTTTGCTCCGACGCCATGAGCTTTGCATTGTCCTCATTACTGTAGGAGTTATGATAACTCCCTAGACAATTCGAGTCATCTAGGAGCTAGTAAGGTTGTGTATCAGCCTTAATAAGTTAGTGAAGGCCAAAGGTCATCTCAAGATCTACACTTGAGCTCAAACTATGTGGCCTAAGATAAAGTAGAAGTCTAGGTCTCTCCAACAGATGTAGAATCTTCCCAAGGATTCTTTGAGCATAACATCCTCATATGTGTGTTCTATTTGGTTGTTGATATTTTTTGACTTTATCCTGCCTGTTGGTAACTATAACTTGTTAGGGCTTTCTTGATTCATATGATTACAAAACACACATGATTAGAAAAAGACAAATGATTGCAATGTCATGTCCTTTTGAATTCTGCATTGTTTTGTTTGGTTTGTTGCATCACAGAAAAAAATGATTATTTTTGAAAGGCCTGGATGGATGAAAAATCCCTATGGATCATAATACAACCGAACCATCATTAAAAATATATATAGAATTCAACCCCGCAGATCAACCAACTAGCATAGAATATTTTTGAAGGATTACAATCCTTCAAAATTTCTATAAAAATCCTTTGAATCAAACATGCCATTAATCTTGAGTATTCGCATTGCTAGTGCGGAACCGGCATAGTTTCTCTTTGCTAGAAACATTAGCATAGTATTTTAGGGGGGTGTGTTACCATATTTCTCTTTGAGGAAAAATGTTAACATAGTTAGATTGATCCAACTTGAGGATCCATTGTTTTCTAACACAGTATAGACGCATGAGCTCATACATACGCTACACTCACCCATGAACACATGCACACACATCCTACCCTATGAACATCTTCGAGAGACTGAGCCGGTACGTCGTCCTGAGATTGACGAAGTCACCACATAGTAGCCGACGGAAACGTCACATCCCACTAAACACACATCGTCGCAAGGCCTCAAATAAATACAAATTTTTGTGAGCACCGATGTCAAGTCTATCACTTGAACCCTGATGGGTTGGGGATACCACAGTTCTCCTAATGATCCAACCACATATTGGTTTGTTTGAGTATCCACTATTGATGATAGTTTTTTAGGCAATTGGTCATAGTTTGGTTTAAGGATTGCTGCAAATTCTAGTGTAAATGAGATCGTACCCCTTCGCTCGTGCGACCAAGGTCGCTCACAATTGGGTTTCTCTTGCCTCTCGCTAAGCAGTCTTCGATCTACCTCGTCTCTTATGGTCCTGGAAACACGGGTGCATGATGGATCTCGGCTCTTGCCAACGGAAGAGCTCCATCTTTAGGTTTTTTTGGTCTTGCTCAGAAAGGCGAGACAGTGGTGGCTCCCTAAAGATGGAATAAACTTCGCGCCGCCTAGCTCATGTCCCGATAGTGCTTCTAGTGTTATCGAAGGACGTGTGGAGGTGTGTCTCCATTAGATTTCATAGGATTCGGTCGGTGTTTATCTTCGGTGAATTCGCTTGAATCCAATATGCATTCGTGTGTCTACAGGTTGCCTTTCGGTCTATGTTTTTCTTCACCGGCAACAATTGTTGTTCTGGTGCGCCGATCCTATGGGACCTTGACACGACGACTTCTCAACGATCTACTACAATAAGATTTGTCCGACTCCAGTGAGGGAAGGGCGATGACGACAACGTGCCTGCTGCTCGCTCCGGTTCTTATAATTGTCGCTAGGTGGTCTACGAAACTTGATGTAATTTTTTACTTCTGGTGTTGACAATTGATGGATATGTCAAAAGTTTTCTCCGCAAACAATAAATAAAAATATGTATTTTTTATAACAACATAGTTTTCTTTTGAGAAACTGTAAGTCTATAACAACATAGCTGTGCACACCCGCAAAGAGAAAACATAGCGGTGCACAGCCAGAGCCATTTCGGTGTGCCAAGGCCTAGCCCAGATCAAGATCCATCGCGAAAATCCTTGCGCAACCCACCACGAAGCCTCCAAATTGTCTAAAAAAAACGCGAAGCCTCCAAACCAAACCTTCCCGCGCGCATTCCGCTAACAAAATTTCCGGTCCCCGCCTAAACCCACCGCTGAACCGTGGGATCACGCATCCCCACACGGATTCCCCCACGCGGCGCGCCTAAATCCAGCCGTCCATCAAACCCAACGACTCCACATCCCGCCACCTCACCGATCCAGACCCCAACCCTCTCCACCAATCACGCCCCTCCCAGCACCCCCATATAATCCTACCGCCCCGTGCCGGGAAACCCACAACCCCAACACAAACCTCCAGTCCTCCCCGCGCGCCGCAACCTTCCCCAACCCGATCCCTCGTCGCCTCCACCTCCGGCGAAACCGCCATGGCGCCCAAGGCCGAGAAGAAGCCCACCGCGGAGAAGAAGCCGGTGGAGACGGAGAAGAAGCCCAAGGCCGAGAAGCGCGTGCCCGGCAAGGACGGCGGCGCCGGCGCCGACAAGAAGAAGAAGAAGGCCAAGAAGAGCGTCGAGACCTACAAGATCTACATCTTCAAGGTCCTGAAGCAGGTGCACCCCGACATCGGCATCTCCTCCAAGGCCATGTCCATCATGAACTCCTTCATCAACGACATCTTCGAGAAGCTCGCTGGCGAGTCGGCCAAGCTGGCTCGCTACAACAAGAAGCCCACCATCACCTCCCGGGAGATCCAGACCGCCGTGCGCCTCGTCCTCCCCGGCGAGCTCGCCAAGCACGCCGTCTCCGAGGGCACCAAGGCCGTCACCAAGTTCACCTCCTCTTAGATTGCCTGCCGCCCGCCGAGGCTCTTGTCAGTCTGGTTCCGTTTCTTCGTGTGTCAACAATCGCAGGGGCTTAGGATCCCCTATACAAACAGTGTAAAATGAGTCGGATTATCTGAATCAATGAATCATCCAGTGGTTGTTTCAATTGTGCTGTGCTTCAGTTTTATGATGATGGCAGTTGTTTTATTGTTTTAAACTCTTTTGATGTGCTCAAGCAATTTTCTTGCCCTGAACCTTCTGCATCTTGCTGATCATCCATGGATAAGTAAATTGTTGGCATAGGTCTTCATTATCTCGCAGGGTAATATTTTTATTTCATCTGATTTGTTATTTGCCGTTGGCTCGCAATGAAACATTGCCGCTGAAAACAAAATTCAGTGAAACTGTCGACGTAGGTTTGATCCAATTCCATTGGCATGCTGTATAAATTCTTTTGATTAGATGATTGGCTGCCAACTAATTCAGGAGATGTACCAGCTACAGATTGCTGTACCAATGTTAAGTTCTTATTTGATCAGATTTGGTAAGTTTTTACTGAATTTTGCTTTGAGGGCTGCATTTTATTGCAAGCTTTTTAACACATTTTTAAGAATTTTAGAAGTACAGCCGTATTCTAGTTAGTTTCAAACAAATGTTCTTTGTTTCAGTTCTGAAGATGTCAGCTGTTTGAATTTTAACTCTGCAATCTGCTTGAGTTTTTTCTCTTTGTTCTGAACCTTGTAATTCTTATCGACCAGATTGGGTAACTTCGTGCTGAATTTTGGTTTCAGGGGCAAGATCTCATTGCGACTTTTAACACTATTTACTCGTTCGAAAATTCAGAAAGCCAGCTCTATAACAGTGATTCTGTACACACAATCCAACCCAGTGCTGAAATGTCTACTTCCAGAGGATCATGGATATTTTGATCGCCACGGTAGCTTAATAGTACTCTGCAATGGGTTTGATTTGAACGGTTTTCTTATTTTCTTATCCCTGTTAATACATTGAATTTCTGGTTCTCTAGTCCAACAGCTTATAGTAATTATCGGCAGCTTGAAACCAATTAGCACCATGAAAGTCCAGCCTTATTCTAGTAAGTTTCAAATGTGCCTTGCTTAGTTCTGAAGAGTAAATATGTCAGTAGTTTGAAGTTTAACTCTGCGGTCTGCTCAGGCATTTCTTTTGTTCTGAACCTTGTGCTTCCGCCTTTGAAGATTTCGGTGAATACACTGTTGACATAGGTCTTAATTTAATTCTAGCAATATGCTGTTCTATGCTTGGTTTCTGTTGAATTATTTGGATGATATGATTTGCTGCGTCAGTTCTAGCAATATTGTACTACTATGTCTGGTTTTCTGTTGAATTCTTTTGGTGATATGATTTTCTGCCAACTGAGGAAGGATGGTGTTAGATTGCTGCCACCCGAGTCTGTTTAGTATGATCTGGTTTGTTCGTGTGTCAACAACAACATGGGGTTAGATTCCCCAATCGAACAGTGTAATATGAGTCGTCTGCTGAATCAATGAATCATTCAGTGGTTGTTTCAAACGTGCTTTGCTTCTGTTTTGTGATGATGGCAGTTGTTTTATTTTTTAACTCCTGTGTTCTGCTTTGAAACTAACATCCATGGTTGAGTGAACTGTTAACTTAGGTCTTGATTATTTCTATAGAGGAAGTTTTTTATTTATCAGATCTGTTAAGTTCTTACTGAATTTTGTTTTCAGGGGCAATGTTTCATTGCGAGCTTTTAACACCTTTAACCCATTCTAACAATTTAATATCCCTGGAACAAACATCCATGTTTGGGTAGGCCTTGATCCAATTCTACCGACATGCTGTATGTGCTTTTTCTGTAGAAATTCTTTTGATTAGATGATTCGCTGCCAACTGAGGTCAGGAGACGCACCGACTACAGATTGCCATACGGATGGAATTTTTTTATTTTATCAGATTTGTTAAGTTTTTACTGAATTTTGTTTTCAGGGCAACATTTCATTGCAAGCTTTGAATACATTCTAAGAATTTTAGAAGTCCAGCCGTATTCTAGTTAGTTTCAGATGTTCTTTGCTTCAATTCTGAAGATGTCAGATGTTTGAGTTTTTAAGTCTGCTATCTGCTCGAGAATTTTTTTTCTTTGTTTTGAACCTTGTGCCTCTTCCTTTGATGATTTCATTGAATTCGCCATTGACGGAAGTCTTGGTTTAAATCCAGCGTCATGCTGTACATGCATACCTTTTCTGTTGAATTCTTTTGATCAGATGTTTGGGTGCCAACTGACGACAGGAGATTTGTCTAAAAAAAAACTGATGACAGGAGATGTACACACTAAGGATAGAAAGTTTTTATTTGAACAGATTGGGTAACTTCATATTGAATTTTGTTTTCACGGGCAAGATCTCAGTGCGAGCTTTAACACAGTTTACTCATTCTAAAATTCAGAAAACCAGCCGTATTCTAGTGATTCTGCACACAATCGAACCAAGTGCTGAAATATCAACTTCCAGAGGAACATGGATGATATTTTGATCGCCACGGTAGCTTAATGTGCTACTCTGCAATGAGTTTGATTTGAACCATTTTCTGTTTTTCTTATGCCCGTTAACATATGGATGATATTTTTAACATGGATGATATTTTCTGTTCTATAGTCCAACCGTTTGAAAAATAAAACCATCGGCAGCTTGAAACCAATCGCAACCTGTCAGTCCTGCCGTATTCTAGGAAGTTTCAATTCTGAACATGTCAGCTGTTTGAATTTAACTCTGCTTTCTGCTAGAGTAATTTTTGTTTAGTTCTGTTCTGAACCTTGTGCTTCTGCATTTGAAGATTTCGTTGAATACACCTTTGACGTAGGCCTTGATTTAATTCTAGCAATATGCTGTATATGCTTGGTTTTCTGTTGAGTTCTTGTGATGAGATGATCTGCTGCCAACTGAGGAAAGGAGGTGCACAGGGTACAGGTTGCTTTTTACTGAATTTTGTTTTCAGGGGCAAGATCTCTTCCGAGCTTAACAGTATTTACTCGTTCAAAAATTCAGAAAGCCAGCCATATTCTAGACTTCTAGTGATTCTGTACACAATCCAACCCAGTGCTGAAATATCTACTTCCAGAGGAACATGGATGATATTTTGATCGCCAGAGCAGCTTAATACTCTGCAATGAGTTTGATTTATACGATTTTCTTATTTTCTTATCCCCGTTAACACATTGAATTTCTAGTTCTCTAGTCAAACAGCTTAACAATAAAAATAATTATCGTTGGCAGCTTGAAACCATCCATCACCCCGAAAGTCCAGCCGCTTTCTAGTAAGTTTCAAATGTGCTTTGCTTCAGTTTTGAAGAGTGAAGATATCAGTTGTTTGAATTTTAACTATGCGATCTGCTCGAGCATTTCCTTTGTTCTGATCCTTGTGCGTCTGCCTTTGAAGATTTCGTTGAATACACCGTTGACATAATGACATAAGTCTTAATTTAATTCAAGCAATATGCTGTACTATACTTGGTTTTCTGTTGAATTCTTGTGATGAGATGATTTGTTGCCAACTGAAGTTAGAATATGTACCGACTACCGATTGCTATACCAATGGCAAGTTTTAATTTTATCAGATTTGTTAAGTTTTTACTGATTTTTGTTTCCAGGGCAACATTTCATTGTGAGCTTTTAGCACATTCTAAGAATGTTAGAAGTCCAGCCATATTCTAGTTAGTTTCAAAAATGTGCTTTGCTTCACTTCTGAAGATGTCAGCTGTTTGAATTTTAACTCTGCGATCTGCTCGAGATTTTTTTGTTTGTTCTGAACCTTGTGCTTCTTCTTTTAACGATTTCAGTTAATCCTCCATTGATGGAGGTCTTGGTTGAAATCCAGCGTCATGCTGTACATCCGTACTTTTTCTGTTGAATTCTTTTGATCAAATGTTTGGGTGCCAACTGATGACAGGAGATGTACAGATCAAGGATGGAAAGACCAGATTGGGTAACTTTATCCTGAATTTTGTTTTCAGGGGCAAGATCTCAGTGGGAGCTTGAACACAGCTTACTCATTTTAAAATTCAGAAAGCCAGCCGTATTCTAGTGATTCCGCACACAATCCAACCCAGTGCTGACATGTCTACTTCCAGAGGAACATGGATGATATTTTGATTGCCACAGTAGCTTAATGTGCTACTCTGCAATGAGTTTGATTTGAACGATTTTCTGTTTTTCTTATGCCCGTTAACACATTGTTCTATAGTCCAACAGTTTCAGAAATAAAACCGTCGGTAGCTTGAAACCAATCAGCAACCTGTCAGTCTTGCCGTATTCTAGGAAGTTTCAGTTTTGAAGATATCAGTTGTTTGAATTCATCTCTGCTATCTGCTAGAGTAATTTTTGTTTAGTTTTGTTCTGAACCTTGTGCTTCTGCCTTTGAAGATTTCGTAGAACACCATTTATGTAGGCCTTGATTTAATTCTAGCAATGTGCTGTATATGCCTGGTTTTCTGTTCAATTCTTGTGATGAGATGATTTGCTGCCAACTGAGGAAGGGAGGTGTATGGATGGAAATATTTTATTTGGGTATTGTTTACTTTCTACTGAATTTTATTTTCAGGGGCAAGATCCCATTGCAAGCTTCAACTCATTCTAAGAATTCAAAAGGCCAGCCGTATTTCTAGTAATTGTGTACACAATTGAACACAGTGCTGAAATGTCTAACTTCAAAGGAATATGGATAATAACTTGACCGGTCTATCTCCAGTAGCTTAATGTGCCACTCTGCAATGAGTTGGGTATAAACTATTTTCTTATCCACGTTAACAAATGGCAGTTTGCTCACAGAATTTCTAGTTCTCTAGTCAGACATTCCTCAACAGCTTGACATTATGTTTTTAAAATCTTCGGCAACTTCAAACCATCATCTGTCTGGAAGATGAGCCATCTGTGGTCATCTTCTGATCTGCAGGTGCTCTCCAGTTGCTGTTTGCTGTTGGTTTTATCAGGCCAAACTCCTATTCTCCTGATACCATGAAGTTAAAGTCCATCCATATCTATTTAACCTGATGAGTGATGAACATGACTATGTGACTCTTGGCCACTCGGTCTAGCTATCTTCTAAGGATTTCATCGGTCACCAAAGAAACACATAGTTACTGTCGAGTGCTCTTCCCTCAGCTTGCTTCAGTTCTGATGAGTGAAGCTGCCATTTGTTTGAATTTTAACTCTGCGATTTGCTCGAGCATCTTTTTGGTTCTGAACCTCATGCTTGTGCATTTGAAGATTTCGTTGAATACACCGTTGACATAGGTCTTAATTTAACTCTAGCAACATGCTTTACTATGTTTGGTTTTCTGTTGAATTCCAGTTATAGCAATATGCTGTACGATGCTTGGTTTTGAATTCTTTTGATGAGATGATTTGCTGCCAACTGAGGTCGGGAGGTGTACAGACTACAGATGGTGTTGTATGGATGGAAATATTTTATTTGAGCAGATTTGGTTACTTTTTACTGAAGTTTATTCTCACGGGCAAGATGTCATTGCAAGCTTCAACCCATTCTAAGAATTCCGGCGCAACATTGCAACAGGGATGCGAACACGGTGGCGCACACATTAGCTAGACATGCTTTTACTTCTAATTCTTTTGTGTTTTGGGAGGGTAATCCCCCTAGCTTTATTGTCCCGGCTGTAATGAACGATGTATCATTATTCAACTTGAAATAAAGTGCGCCATGATGGCTTCCCTAAAAAAAACACACCTCATTCTAAGAATTCAAAAGGCCAGCCGTCTTTCTAGTAACTGTTTACACAATCGAACCCAGTGCCAAAATGTCTAAACAGTAGCTTAATGTGCTACTCTGCAATGAGTCTGGTACGAACTATTTTCTTATCCACATTAATACATGGCAGTTTGCTCACAGAATTTCTTTCTCTAGTCGGACATTCCTCAACAGCTTGACAGTTATTTAAAAAAATATCTTCGGCAGCTTGAAACCAAGTAGCACCCTGAAAGCTTCAAGTTTGCAACACCATCCTCTGCTTGGAAGACGAGCCATGTCCGGCCATCTTCTGATCTCCAGGTGCTCTGCAGTTGCCGTTCGCTGTTGGCCTTATCAGGCCAACTCCTATTCTCCTGCTACCATACAAGTTAAAAGTCCATCCATATCTACCTAACCAGATGAGTGATGAACATGACTAATTGACTCTCAGCCAGTCGGTGTAGCTATTTTCAAAGTATTTCTGTTCCCTCAGCTCAGTCATTTAGACCGTTTTGCACAATCATACTGCAAGGCAGTGTTCATCTTCACCAGCATCCAGGCAAACCTCAAGCATCTTGTAAATTTCAACACTCTGAGGATGTTTAGAGTCTCCATTGAAGAAGACATGGGCCTTGTCCTGGACCTCAATCCAGCTGCAGCCAGTGATCCTCTTGAGCCCCTTCTCCTTAATCTGTCTCCTGATCATTGACGCACTCTTCCAGCTTCCAACTGCAGAATAAACATTAGAGAGAAGGATGTATGAAGAAGTGTCCTCTGGATCAAGTGCATGAATACGGTTGGCGACGCTCTCAGCGAGGTCCTTGTTCCAGTGAATCAGGCACCCTCCTATCATTGACTTCCAGAACCCAAGGCCTGGCTCAAATGGAAGGTCCTCAAGAAACCTCTTGGCGTCATCGAATCGTTTGGCGCGAGACAAGAGATCCACAACACAAGCGTAATGCTCAGGCTTCAATATGCCGGGTTGCTCTCTCTGGGCTGTCTTGAACAACGAATAACCCTCGTCGACCAGACCGGCATGGTTGCAACCGAACAGCAGTCCTAGAAGAGTGACATTATCTGCCTTCAAGCCCGTTGCTATCATCCTCTTGTGGGCAGCCAAAGCTTCCTCCGCTCTCCCATTTTGCGCATACCCGCAGATCAGAGCGTTCCAGGAGACCACATTCTTCTGCTCCATGCTTGTGAATGCCAGCACACTGTCCTCCAAGCTGCCGCACCTGGCATAGCAGCTGACGAGAGAATTGCCGATGTAAACGTCGAGCTTGCCCAAGTGCTTGATGGCCGACGCATGGACGCTTCTAGCGACGCCAAGCGCCCCTGCGTTGGCAACAGAGGTGAGCACGCAGGGAAACGTGCTCTCGTTCGGCCTGGCGCCCTCTCGACACATCTCCCGGAACAGGCCGACTGCCTCCTCGCTGAGCCCCGCCTGGCTGCACCCGCCGATCATCGCGTTCCAGGAAACCACATTCTTCTCCGGCATGCACCGGAACAGCCGGAGGGCCTTCTCGGGCATCCCGTTCTTCAGGAACCCCGCGATGAGCGAGGTGTAGGAGACGACGTTCGGCTCGCTGGTGTCCCCGAGCGCGCCCTGGGCCTCCCTCATGGCGCCCATCTTGGCGTAGTGGTCGACGAGGGCGCTGCCCACGAAGACGATGGAGCAGAGGCCGGACTTGGCGGCGCAGGCGTGGAGCTGCGCGCCGACGCGCGGGTCGCGCAGCGCGGTGGCCGAACGGAGGACCGTGCCGAAGGTGAACTCGTTCGGCGTCGGGACGCCGTCCGCGAGCACGCGGGAGAAGAGGGCCACGGCGTCGCGGTGCCGGCCGCCGCGGGCGAGCGCGCCGATGGCCGCCGTCGCCGCGACGACGTCCCGATAGGGCATTCCGTCGAGCAGGTTACGTGCGGTTCGCGGGGCGGCGCCGGTTCAGCGCCGCCGGCTGGATGCGCTGGGTCAGGGACGGCCCTGTCGCCGGTCCGAGGAGCTCGCCATGCGATTTGTGCACCTTTTGTCGCCGGCAGGAACGATCCGTGGGTCTTTGTGGTGCAGGGATTTGGTGTAGGGAGATTTGCCCTGGGTGCTGAGGATGCCGAGCTTCTTGGGCCGAGATAGCAGTACCGGACGCTGTGTTTGGTTGAGCTTTTGCAGCCAGCTTCTGGCTTTTGGAAGCTATAAGCTAACCAAAGGGGGAGAAAAGAGAAGCAGAAGTTGCAAAAGCTAGTGCTTCCCAGCTTTTCCAAAGTTTGTAAAAGTGATGTGTAAAATTCAGAGACGGAGTTTGAAAATTATAGAGCTTGTTAATGCATGTTTTGAAATGACAAGCACGCACGTCAATCTCCACTTGTTCGAGCTCAAGTGCTTATAGGATTTGGATGGTTAGGTTTTTATTTTCTATGTGGGTCGTTTGGTTCATAGAATGGAATCATTAGGAATTTTCTAAACCATCAAATGGTACAATGCGATCCGTTAAATGGCAGCAATTCCACCGTAACAGAAATATGTATTGCGGATCAGCAAATTTTCCATTTTGTATGGGAAAAGAAGGCATTTGCAGTCTAAACAAAAGCACACCACCAGCTGCAGTAAACACACACACAAACATCAGTAGCAAGCAATTAACCAAGAGACCTTTTATGGAGGCCGTGGATGGCATGAGATCCAGGCTCGAATTTGCCAGGTGATTCTTCAAACATTTCATGATACATCAGCAATTGGTAAAATTAACACATCTTTGACCCTTGCGCCATACCACCATACTTGCGCGGACAACACCGCATCTGTATTCGCTCGAGGGATAGCAAATCTAAGTTGAATTATTCTATCGACAACTATACCCTGACACAAAAATCCTGCTGCATGACAAGCCTCATTCACCAGAAAGAAACACAGTGGGATAATGCTCTCATAAGCCTTCTGATTTGGAGTTCACGGTAACTTTAGGTCCGGCCCACTGTTGGCTAGCTCGAGACTTGGCCCATGGATCAAGTGGAACTCGCTGAGGTGGCGGTGGCGTTGCAGGTTTGGCCTCTCGGAGTTCGTTCTCTCTGTCCACAAACCTGCACAGGGAACATGTTAGATACAACATCCGCAAAAGCAGGGTGGAAAGTCCTGTTGATCCACAAAAAATATCAGCAAAAGCTGAAGACAACCAGTTATGGTTTCTGGAAAATTTTAGGGAGCAAAATTTTGGTACAAGGACATCAATCTTGGCCAAATTTGCAAAAACACAGCAGAATATTGGACTAACTTGGCATAAAAAGCTCTAGATCTATCATGGAACTGACCAGCTTTCTTCACCAGTTAATAGCCTAGATTATTCATGGATTTGGAAACATTCCTGGAAGTGGCTTATTTCATTAAAACAAAGCATGCCATGAAAATAAAGTTCGTTCTCAACCAGTCAGACCTTCTACTTCAAGCAAACACAAAGGCAAAGTCAAACAGAAATAAAAGGTGAGTAACAGATAGTAGGAAATGCTAGGATATATGAATAAAGGAACTTACTCAATGTATGCCATTGGTGCAGCATCACCTATTCGTATCCTAGTTCGCAAAAGTCTCGTATATCCGCCTGCTCGATCTCTAGGATATAAAACATAAAATGAATAAAAAAATCAGTAGGTTCAGCTTGAAAATGATATTCTCATCTGTTTCAAAATAAACATTATTCTACTCCCTCCAATCCAAATTAATTGACGCTGGTTTAACTTTGTACTAAACCAGCGTCAATTAATTTGGGTCGGAGGGAGCAGTATTCTACTCCCTCCTGACAGACCTCTCCATTGTCTAGCAAGGTTAAGTTTCTATGAGAAAAATAGTAATCCTAAGCATGCAGGAGTACTTAGCAAGGTTGAAAAGTAAATCAAAGGGATTGCCAGTTGTATTAGATCAAACTTATCAATGGTAGCTAAAAAGACATACTTATAGCGGTAGGCCAGCTCTGTGAATAGCTTATGGACAACATCATCTCCGCGAACAAAAGCAGAAGCACGTCTTGCTGCATCCAGTGTACCCTACATAATTTATCAATATGACATGAGGTTCTGAATTTTAGCATAGATGTAATAGTTAATTAACTAAATCAATGCAAAAAAAAATCTCGATCAGATAACAAGAGCATATGAGTTTCAGTATTTGAAACCTGGTAAGACTAACAAATCAGTGCAACATCTTGGGTAGATAACAAGAGGCTTGAGGTCGCATACAGAAGGAGATAATTTTACAGAAAGAACACAGAACACCAGCAGGAACTTATGTTGAACCAACAAAAAAGAGTGATAATCAGGACTCCCAGTGTATCGAAGGGATCTTTGGCCCTACAATGAATTTTGAGCAGGCAAAAAATTGACAGTCGCTAGTCACTATGCTGAAAAATAGACTGTTCTGATTTTATTTTTTTACAAAAACTAGAAAAACATTCACATTGTTTATAGTTCTCTGATGAGAGACTTTTAACATTTTATTCTGCTGGGAAATACTCCCTCCGTCCGGAAATACTTGTCATCAAGATTAATAAAAGGGGACATATCTAGATGTATTTTAGTTTTAGATACATCCCTTTTTATCCATTTTGATGACAAGTATTTTCGGACGGAGGGAGTAACACATACTCATGACGAAAACAACCCAAAGTTATAAGGTCTGATTCTAAGTGACTGCAAACGGATTGATTGCTAATAGAACAGAGCTGGGACAATGAATGCCACATTCCTGGATTTAACTGGTTCTAAACTGTGTGTGCAGTTGACTACATCATGGTTGCAGACACATGTTTTCAGGTGAAAAAACGTTGGGCACTAGGGAAATGGTGCTGGGTTTACATCTTTGCCGAGCTGCACCATCTGATCCGCCTTGCGCCGCACCTCCTTGGCCTGAAACACCAATCACCAGAAAGGGTCAGTACAACAGACCCACAGATTCCGTTCCGGCATACACCGATCGAAAGACGCACCTTGGCGACGGTGGTCTCGATCCGCTCGTGCTTCACCAGCTGCGACACCATCGTCCTGCCGAAGCACACGAATCCGGAACAAAAGTCAGCCGCACGGCGGCGCAGCACATATTCATCACAGCGGCGAGCGGAGAGAGAAGATCAGCACTAGATACCTGAGCATGGATACGCGGTGCGCGGCGTGGCGCCCGAGCTTCCGGAACTTGCCCATGGCGTCGGCGGGGACTGAGCGGCCGGCACGGCGGCGGCGGCGGCGGCGGCGAGGGTTGAGGAGAGGTTTGCGAAGGTGCTCGCCTCGGTCGGTACCGCTCGGACTCGCCTGCTAGGTTTGTGCTCGCGTGCCGGAAATGTTGGCCTTCGACTTTCTGGCCCGAAATCTCGTTCTACGTGGGCCTTAATTGGGCCTTAATTGGGCTGTGGCCCGTGGATACACGCAACCAGAGTTCGGAACGAACTTCTCTAGAAAAAAAGTTCAGAACGACGATAATCGTGGCAGCATAAGGCAGATACGCGTTGCTCCGTTGGTGTCCAAATCGATGATCTTGCCTCGTGCCTGTCGCCAACAGCTGAAACCTGAACCACAACCTCGGCCAGCGATCGCCGGAGACATCCATCGATGGGGAACAATCTGACCGGTCCTCCCCGCCGGACCTTGGCCGATGCACGCACAGAAGGGGTGGCCACCGTGCTCATCACCTGCCGCTGCAACCCCAGCCTGATCTGCCATTGCAGGCCACCACGCGACGAGCCATCACCAACACGCACCGGCCGTCGCGAGCCGACACGCAGCAGGACAACGGGAGCGGCGGCGATCGGAGACCTTCCGGCGGAGCTGCTGGCGACGATCGCGTCGAAAGCTGGACGCGAAGCAGGCCGCGAGGACCAGCGTGCTGTCGACCGCGTGGAGGCGCGCCTCGAAGCACTCCCCCAGGCTGGCCCTCGACATGCCCATGCCCCCCGCCTGCCGCGGCGACGAGAACAGGTCGGACGATGACGATCCCCGGCAGAAGCAGTACCGCGCGTTCCTCGACGCGCGGCGCCGCGAGAGGTTCGTCTACGCCGTCGACATGATACTGCGCCAGCGCCGCGGCGGCGCGGTCGAGCAGCTCGAGCTGCGGTTCGACGTCGAATACCTCGGGCGGTTGTCTCGCCCCCTGGACGACTGGCTTCGCCGCGCGGTCTCGCCGCGGACCAAGAGCGTGACGCTCGACGTGTCGCGACGGCCTGACCAGGGGTACGGCCTATACCGGTACGAGTTCCCCTTGCAATCGCTCGTCGGCGGAGGCGGCGGCGCGTCCGGCCTGCAGCACCTTCACCTCTCCTGCGTGTCTCTCAAAGCTCCGCCCTTCTCCCGACGCATGGGTTTTCCGAAGCTTCAAAGGCTCGGCCTGCGCTCGTCCGTCGTGTCCGCCGGTGATCTGCGAGATGTGCTGTCGAACTGCCCTAACCTGGAGTGGCTGGATCTGTATAGGGTCCAGCTGAACGACGAGCTCAACGTGGACACGCCATTGCCCCGCCTGCTATACCTCAGAGTGTCAAACTGTGGGGCCACCAAGATTCAACTCAACGCCAGCAACCTCACAACCTTCATATTCCAGGGTCAACCACTGGCTACCATCAACCTCCGTCGATCTTCAGGGCTTCGCGATCCACTGCTGCCAAATAACACTGCAGCAGGCTCTCACTTCTCTGCCCGCTGCCTTCCCCATGGCACAACGACTATCGCTGTGTTGCTTTTGTATCCTACCAGAGTTCCCCTGGCGGCTGGACAAAACCTCCGTCTTTTCCTGTTTGAGGCATCTTCAATTGATCTTAAACGTCGGCCATAAACACGCCGACGATACCCTCTCCATTGCGCATTTTCTACGGGCTGCCCCGCTGCTTGAGGACCTGGACATTTTCTTCATGTCATGTTACATGGATGGTGGCCAAGGACCTCTAAGGAACTTGCTGCAGGGACGTCAACTCGAATACAAGTGCTTGAAGAGCTTGGCAGTTCGTCAGTTCAGAGCTGAAAAGAGTCAAGTAGAGCTTCTGCTACACATTCTTGAAAATGCCCCTGCTCTCGAAATTTTGACTGTAGACCCGAGAAGACAGCTCATTCCAACAAACTTTTGTCAAGCTTCGGAAGCCGAGAAAGAAAATCTCTCCAAGATCCGCCGTATAGCCACAACATTCATCGGTGGGAAACTTTCACCAAAGACAAAGTTCATTGTTGTATGAGATTTTGATTATATGTGCGTGGCTATAATGAAAACTAGACAATCCTTCGCGTGTTGCTGTATTTCTATGGGAGTTGGTTGTATGAAACATGAAAAGTTGTATTAATAATATGACAAGCAAATCTATAAAAAAAGAACCGGAACAAAATATACATAGATTTATTGTGTTTGACTATCACATATGTCGATGTATTGCAACGGGACAAAAATATGATGTGCATCGAAGGGACGGTTGTGTTACATAAGACTCTAGCATTGCGTAATCTAGAGTCATCAGTATCAAATCTTGAGCATCATCAAAGAGACCAACACCTTGGGAGATTCACACCCAATGTGAATGTTGTCGTCCACCCAGGGGTGTAGCCAGGTCACAGGCTCCACTAGCTCGTTGACTAGCTCGTTGATCAAAGATGGTTGAGTTTTCTAGCCATAGACATGAGTTGTCATTTGATTAACGGTATCACATCATTAATAGAATGATGTGATTGACTTGACCCATTTTGTAAGCTTAGCACATGACCATTTTAGTTTACTGCTATTGCTTCCTTCATGACTTATACATGTTCCTATGACTATGAGATTATGCAACTCCCGATTACTAGAGGAGCACTTTGTGTGCTACCAAACGTCACAACGTAACTGGGTGATTATAAAGGTGCTCTACAGGTGTCTCCGATGGTACTTGTTGAGTTGGCATAGATCAAGAATATGATTTGTCACTCCGATTGTCGGAGAGGTATCTCTAGGCCCTCTCAGTAATGCACATCACTATAAGCCTTGTGAGCAATGCAACTAATGAGCTAGTTGCGGGATGATGCATTACAGAATGAGTAAAGAGACTTGCCGGTAACGAGATTGAGCTAGGTATTGAGATACTGACGATCAAATCTCGGGCAAGTAACATATCGATGACAAAGGGAACAACGTATGTCGTTATGCGGTTTGACCGATAAAGATCTTCGTAGAATATGTGGGAACCAATATGAGCATCCAGGTTCCGCTATTGGTTATTGACCGGAGACGTGTCTCGGTCATGTCTACATAGTTCTCGAACCCGTAGGCTCCGCACGCTTAAAGTTCTGTGATGATCGGTATTATGAGTTTATATATTTTGATGTACCGAAGGTAGTTCGGAGTCCCGGATATGATCACGGACATGACGAGGAGTCTCGAAATGGTTGAGATATAAAGATTGATATATTGGAAGCCTAGATTTGGACATCGGAAGAGTTTCGGGTGAAATCGGGATTTTACCGGAATGTCGGAGGGGTTACCGGAACCCCCCGAGGGTTAATGGGCCTTGTTGGGCCCTAGTGGAGAGAGAGAGAGGCCGGCCAAGGCAGGCCGCGCGCCCCCTCCACCTCTGGTCCGAATTGGACTAGGAAGGGGTGGGGGCCTTTCCTTCTCCTTCTCCCCCTTCCTTTCCCCCTCATAGTAGGAGTAGGAAAATTAGACAATCCTTCGCGTGTTGCTGTATTTCAATGGGAGTTGGTTGTATGAAACATGAAAAGTTGTATTAATAATATGAGAAGTGCAACATTTTTTTGATGTTGTGATGATTCTTTGAGAAGTGCAACATTTTTTAATGTTGTGAATATTTTCTTTTGAAAATGCAAGTATTATTTGTAATTATTTCTATTTTTTGTTGAGATTTCAATCATTTACTGAAATTCTGAACAATTTCAGAAAAGTGTGAACATTTTGAAATTCTAAACTCTTTGAAAAATGCAAATAAAATTTTAAATTATGATCGATTGAACGTTCTAGAATCTTAAACAAACGGAGTAGCAGGTTAATTGGGCCGGCTAAAACCCATAAAGGCATTTGGGTTTTGGCGTCCCTAACATGTACACAAGCCTACATGGCCCTCGTGTATAAAGGCCTACATGGGCCTCAGTCAGAATGTGCCCTGGAAGATGTTGGGGATCGTAGCAGAAATTCAAAATTTTTCTACGTGTCACCAAGATCAATCTATGGAGAGACTAGCAACGAGAGAGAGGAGTGCATCTTCATACCCTTGAAGATCGCAATGCGGAAGCATTACAAGAACGTGGTTGGTGGAGTCGTACACGCAGCGATTCAGATCGCGGTCGATTCCGATCTAAGCGCCGAACAACGGCGCCTCCGCGTTCAACACACGTACAGCCCGGTGATGTCTCCCACGCCTTGATCCGGCAAGGAGAGAGGGAGAGGCTGGGGAAGACTCCGTCCAGCAGCAGAACAACGACATGGTGATGGTGGAGGAGCGCGGTACTCCAGCAGGGCTTCGCCAAGCACTACGAGAGACGAGGAGGGAGAGGGGTAGGGATGCACCAAGAGAGAGATCAAATCACATATGTTGGGCAGCCCCATACCTCAAGTATATATAGGGGAGGGGAGGGGCTGCGCCCCCTCTAGGGTTCCCTCCCCAAGGGGGGGCGGCAGCCCTAGATCCCATCTAGGGTGGCGGCTAGAAGGAAGAGGGAGAGAGGGGGGCGCCCTAGGGTGGGCCTTAAGGTCCATCTGGACCTAGGGTTTGCCCCCTCCCACTCTCCCTGCGTCTTGGGCCTTGGTGGGGGGGGGGGCGCACCAGCCTACCTGGGACTAGTCCCCTCCCACACTTGGCCCTCGCAGCCTTCTGGGGTTGGTGGCCCCACCTGGTGGACCCCCGGGACCCTCCCGGTGGTCCCGGTACGTTACCGATAGCACCCGAAACTTTTCCGGTGACCAAAACGGGACTTCCCATATATAAATCTTTACCTCCGGACCATTCCAGAACTCCTCATGACATTCGGGGTCTCATCCGAGACTCTGAACAACATTCGGTAACCACGTACATACTTTCCCTATAACCCTAGCGTCATCGAACCTTAAGTGTGTAGACCTTACGGGTTCGGGAACCATGTAGACATGATCGAGACAACTCTCCAACCGATACCCAACAGCGGGATCTGGATACCCATGTTGGCTCCCACATGTTCCACGATGATCTCATTGGATGAACCACGAT